ATGGATTGGAAGGCATAATATTACTAAGATGTCAGTAGTACCCAAGGCAATCTATAAATTCAGTTCAATCCCCATCAAAATTCAAATAGCTTTTTTTGAAGAAATGAAAAGCCAGTTCCTCAAATTTATATGGAACAGCAAGGGGCCCTGAATATGCAAAGCAATCTTGAAAAAGAAAAATAAGAGGACTCAAACTTCTAATTTCAAAGCATACTATAAAGCTACAGTAACCAAGATGGTCTGTTACTGACACAATGATAGACCACTGAAATATAATTGAGAGTGCCAAAATAAACCAATATTCTGTGGTCAGCTGATTTTCGACAAGGGTGCAAAAATGGGGAAAGAAGAGTGTGTTTAATAAATGGTGCTGGGAAAACTGGATTTCCAAATACAAAAGAATGAAGCTGAACCCATGCCTCACATCATATATGAAAAGTATTTCAAAATGGATGAAAGACCTAAATGTGAGATCTAAAACCATAAAATTCTTAGAAAACATAGGGGTATTGCTTTGGGACCCAGTGTTTAACATTGAATTCTTAGATGCAACAGCAAAGGCACAAGCAGCAAAAGGCAAAATAGATAAATGGGCTCTCATCAAAATTAAAGACTTTTGTTTATCAAAGAACTTTTTATCAACGAAAAAAAGTGAAGAGACAGCCTATAGATTGGGAGAGAATGTTTTGGGAACCATGTATCTGATAAAAGAGTTTAATATCCAGAATATATAGTGAATTCCTTCAACTCAACAACAAACAGCCCAGTTGAAAAATGGACAAAGTACTTGAATAGACATTTCACCAAAGAGGTTGTTTAAATGAACAACAAACATCATTAGTCATTAGGGAAAAGCAAATCAAAACTACAGTGAGATACCACCTCATCCCCACTAGAACAGCTGTGATCAACAAAACAGAAAATAGCAGGTGTTGGTGAGAATGTGGAGAAATAGAAACCTTCGTTCATTTGCTGGTGGTTATGCAAAATGGTATAGCCATTGTGGGAAACAGTTTGGCAGTTCCTCAAAACATTAAACATAAAATTATCATAAGATGCAGTCGGTTTGCAGTCAGCTGCTGAACTAAAGATTGGAGGTGTGAACCCACCTATCAGTGCCATGGAATTATCATATGACCCAGCAATTCCATTATTGTATGTACCCCAAACACTTGAAAGCAGAGACTCAAACAGATACCTACTGTGATACCTAACATTTAAAAAAACGAGGGAAGATAATAAGTTTTTGGGGAGGATGTGGAAAAATTGAAAGCCTCATCAGTTGCTGGTGGGTACTTAAAATGGTACAGCTGCTGTGGAAAACAGTTTGGTGGTTCCTCAAAAAGTTAAACAGAACTATCATATGACCCAGCAATTACTCTCCTAAGTATATACACAGAAGAATTGAAAGCAGGAACACAAACGGAAACCTGTACCCCAGTGTCCATTGCAGCGCTATTCACAATAGCCAAAATCTAGAAACAACCTAAATGTTCATCAGTAGATGAATGAAAATGTGGTATATGCATACAAAAAAAATCAAACCTGATGAGTCGCTATATGCGTACAATGGAATATTATTCAGCCATAGACAAGAATGAAGTTCTGATACATGCTACAGTGTGGTTGAACCTTGAAAACATTACGCTAAGTGAAGGAAGTCAGACATAAAAACTCACATACTGTATGATACCACTTAAGTGATTTATCCAGAATAGGTAAATCCATAGAGACAGAAAGCAGATCAATAGTCGTCAGGGGCTGGGGGCGAGGGGAGATGAGAGTGACCGCTGATGAGTAGTAGTCCCTGGGAGTGGCACAAAGGGTTGAGCATCAGACTACTAACTGAAAGGTTGGCAGTTCAAACCCACCCTGAGGCACTTTGGAAGGCAGGCTTCGCGATCTACTTCTGAAAGGTCACAGCCTTGAAAACCCTATGGACTGGTTCTGCTCTGCACATGTGGGGTTGCCATGAGTCCGAATCAACTGGGCAGCAGTTAACAACAACAACAGCTAATGTGTATGGCATCTCTTTTGGGGTTGATGAAAATATTCTGGAACTAGATAGAGGTGGTGATTGCACAACATTTTGAATCTACTAAAGGCCACTGAGCTGTACACGTTAAAATGGTTAAAATACAAGTTTTTATGTTATATATTTACAAAAAAAAAAGATTAATATTTCTAATTATATTAATACTATAGCATACTCTTTTTGTTTGTTTTTATAAGTCAAAGTCCTATTTCCAGGATAAGGTATGAAAAAAATAGTGTGGTACATTTCTTTATCCAATAAACAGTTACTTGCTTAGGGTCCGGGAATAATACTGTGTCTCTTTTTCATAAAATTCACCTTCTAGAACAGAAGACAGATTTATAAAACAGAAAATTAGATTTTATTCCTTTGACATACTCTGAGCATCTACTATTTTCCAATCACAATACTAGGTCCTAGTGACACCAAGAGGAATGAGACACACACCTTGCCTTCATATATAACTTAGGGTTGAGTAAGCACGATAGACTTGGAAACAGTGAATGCCATGACGTGTTAAAGGTGCTAGATGAGGTATTGTATAGATATCAGTGGCAAGGCAAATTTTAGGAATCTGGTTTTTCATGTTTAGGATATTGGCTAAATGATGACATTATGAAATGAGGGAATACAGAAATAGATGCAGATTTACGAGGATGTAAATAGGTTGCTTTTGACCATATTAGGTTTGTTTCCTATATTCTTTTCAGTAGTTTTATTGAGGTATAATTGCCATACATAAACTACACTTTTTTAAAGTGTACGATTTGATAAGTTCATACACACACAAAGGATCCCTGATGGTGCAGTGGTTAAAGCACTCAGCTGCCAACCGAAAGGTTGGCAGTTCAAACCCACCAACCACTCCACAGGAGAAAGATGTGGCAGCCTGCTTCCATAAAGATTTACAGCCTTGGAAACCCTATGAGGCAATTCTACTCTGTCCTATACGGTCGCTATGAGTCAGAATCAACAGCAGTGAGTTTGATTTTATTGGAGGTACACACATCCATGAAACCGTCACCACAATCAAAATAATGAGCCCATCCACACCCCCAGAAGTTTTTTTTATACCCCCTTTTATCCCTACTTCTTTCCTCCTCCCCAGTTCCCTGACAACTATTGATCTGGTTTCTGACACTATAGATTAGTTTGCATTCTCTAGAATTTTATATAAATGTAATCATATAATATGTACTGGTTTTTGTTTTTCTTATTTTCTGTTTCTTTCACTCAGCATAATTATTTTGAGATTTCATCTATGTTCTTGCTTGAATCAATAGTTCATTTCTTTTTATTACTAAGGAGTATTCCATTGTATGGATGTACCACAGTTTATTCACCTTTTGGTGAATAAGTACAGAGAAGAGACAATATTTTAAAAGATGAGATAATATTTGAGCTGAGTCTTAAAAGAATGAGTAGAAGAAGTAGAGAAATGGGGATAAAAACAATCCCAAGAGAAAAATCTACATGTTTTAGGGAAATGGGAACATTTTTAATGGCAGAATTTAAGAATCTTTTAAAATACGAATATTTTAGACGGTGTTCTAATGGATATATCACAATATTAGGTACCTCATATCTGTTTTGGAACAAGAAATGATATACATTTTTTAAAAATCACAAATTGTAAAAGCTGATAACAGGGAACCCAAGGTCAAGAAGGGGAAAATGTTGACACATCATGGGGTTGACAACCAATGTCACAAAACAATATGTGTATTCATTGTTTAATAAGAAGCTAATTTACTCTGTAAACCTTCATCTAAAACACAATAAAAAAAATAGTTGAAATTAAAAACAAATTGCAAATTGCTATTGACAATATTTGTGAAAAATTTCATCAGAGGTGTATGTTATATGTACAAGACTCTTATGAAACATGTCACTTGATTTTGTAGTAAACAGATTTAAGTAGCTGTTTGTTAATTTTAATAAACTACAATATTTTCAGTTAAATATTTTGATTTACTTTTCACTAAAGTAAATACTTCAATCTATAGGCAGGAGGAAAACAGTTATGATAATAACATACACTTATTTAGTATGTTTTATAAGTACTTCCATATATATCTCATTTTATTCTCAGAACTCTTGAAGGTAGGTAAGGCAACTTGCTGTTATTTGTAGATAAGAAAACTGAGATTAAATAATTTGTTCAAAGATAAATAGCAACATAAAAATTGGCATATTTTGAGCTTTTCCTATATACAGAGAAGTATACATCATTTCTGATCTTTCAACAAGTTACAAAGTACCATTTTCTTTTATGCAAGGGTTTAAGCAGCTTGCTGGATGTCAGGTAACTAGTGCGTGGTTATATCAGTTAACTATGGCCACAGAAATGCTGGGTAGCAACTACAAACCCACAAAGGCGTACAACAGCAAGCATTTATTTCACTCATGAGTCTGTGGATCAGTTGGGTAGCTCTGCTCTACATGTCTCTTGTCATTATCCTGGGAACTGCAGGCCAATCCAGGCATGTTCTTCCAGTGGCGGTAACAGAGGCACAAGAGAGCAAACCTATTTGTACATTGTTTTAGAAACTTTTGTCATGCCACACCTACTGCTATTCCAGTGGCCAAGCAAACCATAGAGCTAAACGCAAAGTCCAGGCGTCAGAAATGTATTCCTCCTCTTTAGTGAGCAAAGTAACACAGCAGGGAGTAGTCACGGGGGCGGGGTGGTGGTGGTGGTGAAGAATAGGGCCATTAATGAAATCTCCCACAGTATGAGAGCTAGAATCTAAACTCAGGTCCCTCAGCTTGTAGAACCTGTGGGTTCTTAACTGCCTTCCTAGCCACCTTTTGGTATCCTAAAATCTAATTTTTGAAATTCTTTTTGTTTGGCTTACTCATTGTTTTGTAGTCCAAGCACTTCATTTATTCTATATGACTATGGCTATTTAGAGGAAACTAGTAAATTTATTCATTGATGTCTCTCCCGCCTTGGTTCTTTCAGGCTCGATTCTGGGTACAGGTGATGAGGGATTTGCGGAATGGTGTAAAACTGAAGAAGGTCCAAGAGCGGCAGTACAATCCTTTGCCCATTGAATATCAGCTCACCCCTTATGAAATGCTAATGGATGACATTCGGTCCAAAAGATACACTTTGCGAAAGGTGATGGTAGGTAACAAGGAAATCTTTATTATTTTTGTTGTTGTTGTTGTTGTTATTTGTTATTCCATTTACTGCAGTTGGTTTTAAAATCATCTTTCAGGAACATATCTACCATAGACTGTTTAGGATGACTTTGACGTTGTTGTTGAGAATATACACAGTAGAAAATACACCAGTTTAACAACTTCTGCATGTACAATTCAGTGACATGGATTACATTCTTTAAGTTGTGCAACCATTCTCACCCTTCTTTTCCAAATTGTTTCTCTTCCCATTAACATATATTCACCGCCCCCCTAAGTTTGAGTTGCTATTGTCAGTTTGACCCCACATAGACAGTTGTTAAAAGAGCACAAAGCTCAAAGCAGATACTCTTTACTAATTAGGTTAAACTATTGTTTGGTTTAAAGAAGACGTCAGGGAATATTTTTGGTTTAAGGTTTAAAGATTATCTCAGGGCAATAGCTTCGGAGGTTCATCCAGCCTCCATGGCTCCAGAAAGTCTAGATTCTGTGAAAGTTTGAAATTCTGTTCTGCGTTTTCCCCCTTTTAATCAGGATTCTTCTATATACTCTTTCATCAAAATATTCAGTAATGGGAAGGAGAGGACAAAATGGCAGTTCAGATAGCCACACCTTAACGTCCCCCTACAACAATAACTTGAGAAAACAAGTAAGAACCTACACCACCAACCACCTCGAAACTCAGAACAATGAATGAAGGATTGAAGAAACAGTCTGGATAACAAATCAGAGGTGACATAGAACAAGAGCAGCAGGAGAGCAGAGATTCAGGATCATCCATACCCTTCCTGCGTGGCACAACGTGGCCATATTGGGATGACTACAAGCATTCCACAAGTGAGAAGTTCAGGGAGGGACAGCATGGAACACAGAACCTGTGACAGAGATACCGTGTAAACAGCCTCGGAAGAGCACTTGAGGTGGGGAAGCTGCATACTTGGACTGGGCACACTGCAGAGAGAGAAACAAAGGGGAGCAACATACTTTTGAGACAGGGAACTGCTGTTTGAGTAGAGCGATGTTGGTTGGATTATAGGAACTTGAGGGCAGGGGACAGATAAAACAAAGAATGCACAACTAGGGAGGGGCACAGGGAAAGTACAGGAGTGTGGACTTGAGCTCCTGTATCCCTGGCAAGTGTGGGGAAGGGAGGGAGCCAGGAATTATACCCAGGACTACTCAGCAGACACGTAATCTGTACATTAGCTAGGACAGTAGTCACCCAGTGCTCTGACAATACACTGGCAAATAGCTAGGCACCCCTCTCTAAGCCAGCCCAGCAGCACACAATGGGGTCCTGCCACCAGACACTGGGTTCATGGGTCAAACAGTGTTCAGGGGCCTGTTTAGCCTCCCCCCGCAGCTGCACAGAGACAAGTCCTGGCCACCCTCAGCTACCACCCGCCTGTACTCCCTGGGAAGGCAAGCCTGCCTCTCCAGAGACCAGCGGCCCACCTGCCCTTCCTTGGAGGATGAGGCCGCCCGCCCCAGCCATGACTCAGAGGGCAAGCCCTGCCGTCCTGGAGCCATGTCTCCACCCCCCACTCACTTGGAGGGCGAGCCCCACACCCCAGACCCTGACCCGGAGACCTACCGCCAGAGTCCTGCCGCAGGTCCACGAGTTCACAGAGAGCACCCTCCCCCCACCCCACGGGGCCACCTACCCATGCTCCCGCAGAGGGTGCATCTCACTGTGGAACCACGCCACCTGTCCCACACCTCATTGGAGGACCCACCCTGCCCCCTGGGGCCACACCACCTATTTGCATTTTTACTGAGGGGCTGTGCCATCTTCAAGCACTGAGGACGGACTCTGGCCATCGCCATCGCAGGCCTCACCATGGGGAAGTGACCTGCCTTCCCATCCCCACGCAACTGACCGCGGGAAGTCTCACACACCCAATGCCACAGGTTCCCTTGAAACTCCTACCACTACACTCACCTTTGAGGGGAAACCACACCCAGCCAACCAGTAGCTCCAAAGACATACCTCCCTCAATAATACAAAACAATAATAACAAAAACAATACAAAGGAAGGGAAACAGCCTAAAGAGACAGGAAGCTAAGCTCGTTAAATATCAAAGGGAAAACAAAAACAAACCTTAATTTCTGGAAGACAGCAAACAATTATAAAGCATACGAAGAGACAGGAAAGGATACATCAAACAAAGGACCAAAAAAGAGGGACAAAAAGGCCGCTGAGGAAGATCAGATAATGGAACTACCCTACAAAGACTTCAGAGCACTAGTATTAAGTTTTCTCAAAGAAATAAAAACAATAAGTGACACATTTCATTTCCTCCTCCTATTCCTGACTCTCCTTCCTCCGTTGCTTCAGGCGAATAGAGACCATTTGTTGTACCTTGGATAGCCACTTACAAGCTTTAAAGACCGCAGGCACTACGCAAAGAACTAGGAGGTAGAACAGAAGCACTAAACAAAATATTAGGCTGAATAACTGGCATGTCCCATGAAACCATGACCCTGAACCTCTAAACCAAGAAACCAACCAAATCCCATGAGGTTTTTGATTATACATTATCAGCTTCAGCAGCTACTCTTTTTTTTTTTTTGGTCACTGTTGTAAATATATCTATCACACATTTACCATTTCACGTTTTTACAGGGATGTAACTTATTGACATCAATTACATTAATTAACTGTGCAACCCTTACATTTAATTAGGGCGATTTTTCTATCACTGTAAACCGGAACCCCTTTCCTCCTCCCTGGTAACCCCCAAGAAACTTTGGTCTGTATACATTTGCCTGTTCTTGTCTTTTTATATAAGTGAGGTCATACAATATTTGTCCTTTTGGGATTGACCTGTTTCACTCGGCATAATGTCTTCAGACTCCATCCATGTTGTAGATGTATCAAGACTTGGTTTCTCTTACTGGCTGAGTAGTGTTCCGCTGTATGTATGTACACATTTTGTTTATCCATTCATCTGTTGATGGGCATTTAGGTTGTTTCCACCTTGGCTATTGTGAATAGTGCTGCAGTGAACAGTGGTGTACACATGTCTCTTCATGTAGCTGCTTTCGAGTCCCCTGGGTTTATTCCTAGCAGTGGAATTGCTAAATCATATGGTAGTTTTAGTTTTTTGAGGAACCGTCACGCTGTTTTCCACAAAGACTGTAACAATTTATATTCCCACCAGCAATGGGTAAGGGTTCAATTTTCCCATATCCTCACCAATATTTGTTATTTTCAGGGTTTTTTGTTTTTTTTTTTTTAAAGCTGTTCTAAAAAAAAACACACAAGTAAACCCATTGCCTTGAAGCTGATTTCAACTCATAGCGACCCTACTGGGAGTGAAATGGTATCTTATTGTGCTTTTGATTTGCATATCTCTGATGGCTAATGACTTGAGCACCCATATATTTGGTGGTCATTTGAATGTCCTCTTTGGTGAAACGTCTGTTCAAGCCCTTTGCCCATTTTTTGATTGGCTTATTTGTCTTTCTGTTGTTAAGTAGTCAAAGTTTTATATATGTTTTAGTTATTAGATTCTTGTTGGATATATGGTTTCTGAAGATATTCTCCCAATCCATAGTTTGTCTTTTCACTTTCTTGATAAAGTCTTTGTTGAACAAAAGTTTTTAATTTTTATGACTTCCATTTATTTATTTTGTCTTTTGTTGTTCGTGCTTTTGTTATCATATTAGATAATCCATTGTTAAAAGTTAGGCCCAACAGCATTGCCCTTGCATTTTCTTCTAAGAATTTTATGATTTAAGTTTTCACATTTAGGTTCTTAATCCATTTTGAATTTGTTTTTGTGTATGATGTGAGGATGGGATCATGTTTCATTTTTCTGCAGGTGAACATCCACTTTTCCCAGCACCATTTTGAAGAGCCTCTTCTTTCTGCATTGAGTGAACTTAGCACCCTTGTCAAAAACAGGTTGACCATAGATATTGGGTTTATTTCTGAAGTCTCAATTCTATTCCATTGGTCTTTGTGTCTATTGTTATGCCAATACCAGGCTGTTTCAATTACTGTAGCTTTATAATATGTTTTAAAATCAGGAAATGTGAGTTCTCCTACTTTGTTCTTCCCTTCCCACTTTGGTTTAGTTGTTTCGGGCCACTTGCCATTTCATACAAAGTTGAGGATTGTTTGTTTTCATTTCTGTAAGGAAGACATTGGAATTCTGATCAGAATTGCATTGAATCTGTGGATCACTTTGGGTAGTTGACACCTTAACAATATTAAGTCTTCTAATCCATGAAAATGGAACACCTTTCCATTTATTTAAGTCTTTTTTAATCTCTTTGACCAGTGTTCTGTAGTTTTTATTGTATAACTCCTTCACGTCCCTATTTAAATTTATTCCTAGGTATTTTATTCTCGTAGATGCTGTTGTAAATGGAATTGTTTCTTTAATTTCCTTTGCAGATTTGCCATTCCTGGTGTATAAAAACTCAGCTCTTTTTTATTTGTTGAGCTTGTATGCTGCAACTCTGCTAAATTCCCGTATTAGCTCTAGAAGACTTCTTATGAACACTGGGATTTTCTGGATATAGGATCATATCATCTGCAAATAGAGATAAACTTATTTCCCAGTCTAGATACATTTTATTTCTTTCTCATGTTTTATTGCTCAAGCTAGGACTTCTAATACAATATTGAATAGAAGTGGTGAGATCAGACACTCTTGTCTTGTTCCTGATTTCAAGGGGAAAGCTTTCAGTCTTTCTCCATTAAGTATAGTGTTGTTGTTAGGTGCTTTTGAGTCAGTTCCAAGTCATAGCAACCCCATGCACAACAGAACAAAACACTGCCTGGTTCTGTGCCATCCTCACAGTCATAGAGTGTTTGAGCCCATTGTGGCAGCCACTGTGTCAATGCATCTCATTGAGGATGTTCCTCTTTTTCACTGACCCTCCACCTTACCAGGCATGATATTCTTTTCCAGGGACTGGTCACTCCTGATAACATGTCCAAAGTAAATAAGGCAAAGCCTTGACTTGGC